AACTACAAAGGCAATCCTCTGGAGGAAAACAAAAGACTTTTCACATTTCGTTCAAATTTACTCCCAGACACCTTAACCAATCATTAAAGTTAATGCCCAAAATCCGAAGGCTTCAAACCTATTTCATATATTTTATGGCCCCTCTCACTACATTGTGTTAATGGAATTGGACAGTTTCCCCGACCAATATTTTTTAACCCATTTCAAAAACCGATGTCCCGCCAACATTTTTATAGTCTCCGGACCTGAAATACTGTTCGTAACCAGTTTCTCTCCGTTCTCCAAAAAAAGAACAGCATACGTCACGCGCTGTTCACTTTGTTAGTCTCTAAAACTTTCAACTATGTCACCTCACGTAAAACAAAGTTTGATGCGCAACATCTCGGGTACGTTTTAGTGTTATTTATTTACATTACAAGTCTAGGGACAGAAAATAACTTTAAAAAAAAAGGAGGAAACATTTTCTGAGGCCCGTCTGTTGCAGACACACGTGAGTTACAATATGATATAAGGCTCCATGCATATAGCGGTTTGGTAAGGTTTTCTCTCTCTCTCTCTGGCTGTTAAATACAAGCCAGTCCGCGTCTCACTCCAAGGTCTACAACAAGATTTCTCCCCCTTCCGCGTCTTCTCTCGCCCCAAGCTACTCATCATCAGTAAAGGCTACCAGCGAATTCTCCGTTGCATGCCTTCTCTCCGTCCTAGAAACGACGTTCAAAATGTTTCCAATTTGGAGTTCACGAATTTCGTACAACTCGCATTTATCTCATCTCATTCACAAATTTACCCAAATTCATAATGTTGGTTCTTCAAACCCTAAAATAATTCCCACCTGTTAAAAATCCACAGGGTTCATCGCCGTATTAACAAAAGCCTACAATTCAACCATGCGCGTCGGACGAACCCAGTCTATTTTTTTCCCTTATATATTTCAGCACAATCCTCCTGCCTTCAATTTTTCAATTAAAATTTTGTACGCATTTCTCACCTTCCCTGTTCGTGTTACATGATCATAACTGTTATTAACAAATAAATGTTCCGGTGTCGAGTTCCTATGCTCCACGTTATGGAGGAACAGCTCCACTCATTCCAGTGCCTGCTTAAACCCCTATTACCCGGCGGACACAAAGCTGGACGGCCCAAGTGCTGTTCTGAAGGCGCACGCGTAACCCTACGTAATAATATTAAAACTGACCCGTCCATGAAGTTTGTTTCGATGGAATGTGTCGACGAATTCCATTAACATTTTTAGGATAATCAGCTAAATTTATTCAAGCCCAATGTGAAATTTAACATGAAGTTAATGAAGTGTTGCCTTCATATAGTATATAAATGAATAATTAATTGTAATTCTAATATGAAATTGGTTAGCCAACATAAACGGGAACTTTGCGTGTTCCCTGGTGGGGAAATCCCCGCCATTCACTAAACGTCAAAGTTTAAATTACAAGGAACACATCACAATTGCTAAGCTATGCGTACACCCCAAACTTGTTCTAATTGAGCTATACTACGTCATCTGTTTCTATTTCGAATGATGTTTTTGGGTTCATTTACGAAATGAGAAGCAGCCATATTGTGACAATGCATGCTACATGAGCGTATCTGCATGTCTAGTGTATATATTTTTTTCGCGATGTCTATGGTGTTAACGTAAAGGCACAATTTGTCTCAAAAAAAGTTGCAAATTCGGTCAATGGTTTATGTACGAATGTGCCCTTGCAAGATTGCAAATGCGAGGAGTGAACTGAGCTCCCATCTATGTTTTTCCAGATGAACCAGCAGTGCAAGGTGTGCGGCGAGCCAGCGGCGGGCTTCCACTTCGGCGCCTTCACTTGCGAGGGATGTAAGGTGAGACAAGTTTTAATGGCAGCAAAGAACAGGCTGCATTAGATTTGATTCTTTTTCTGTAAACAGTGATTACTTCCTTAAACGGCATCAACCACTTGATCCTTTCAATGGTGAACTGTTGTGTTTTCTTCGCGGTACGGACCGAATAATATATTATGATGCGTTCTTTGCACGAGGTGCATAACGAGAACACACTGTGAGCCGGTCGTGCCCGTCCGTCCGTCTGTACAGTCGATTCAACTCGAGAACCATTGGACGGATTTGGATGAAATTTGATGTGGAGGCTGTGCTAGTCTGCACGACATTAGAATTGTACTGCTGAATATCCTACGAGCGGTCATAACAAATTGACGGATGAAGGAAGTCGTGAGGTAGACACTGAAGTGCTACGATTGCACGTTGCAAAGAACAAAAGCAAAATTTCATAAATTTCTTGAGTGGTTTAATGAAACCCACAAGACCCCTCGTTGGGTGTCCGGACCTGGATTGAAGCCAAAGTCCCCCCGAAACCATTGAAACTCATCGATAGGTGCATTTCAGTGGGTGGACATGGGGTTTAGGCCCAGGGACAGCTATAATCTTACGTCTGACCTGATAGTACTTCTGAGGTAACCTAATGTTGGCCAAGATCCTGTGATGCGCCGGCCATGACGTCAGCAACTGACGCAGAACCCTATAATATGCTCAGCAGAGTTTGAATTCATGCAACAATGAGATTGAAGTCGAAATCTGTTACGCAAGTCGAGATGGAAGGGGGCAGTGTGTGTGTTAGTTACAACATCGACCACAAAAATCTGCGAACCGGAGCGTGACAATCGATCTTAAACAAAACAGACTCGCAGCCGCAGATATCTGGTTTTTGTTTTAACACACACAATCGGTACAAAACTGAATAATGTAAATTTCTCTTTCATATTCAATAAGTGTAACGATATTTGTCACCTCTGCAAAGGCTTTGAACGAAAGAAGTTTTTGATGGTTTTTTTGTAAGTACCGTAACTGAAGTTGTCGTCATTTTTTATCGTTACCCGTCTTCGAACAGATGAAATTATGAAACCGCTTCTTCCCTTGATGCGCTGTTTCAGGGTTAACTTAGCATTTAGTTCACTGGGTCGGAAGTATTACGTATAATAATAGTTCACTTTTATTTACCGCTGTGTTCCGGTTGGGTCACGTGCTGTACTTTGTAAATTCACTACAAGAAGGCTGTGGTTCTTTGTTTGTAATTCAGTTAGCACTTTCCCTTGCCATGTGCTGAGCTCTGTCGGCCAAGTGTGTAATGTCAGACAATTAACCGTGCTCATCAGACGGGAAAACAGGGCATTGTTAGAATATGGAAGCATTTGATGTTGGTGATAATATTCACAAGCTATTAGTTTTCACTTTTCGGTATTTATTTTTATGATATGCAAATTAATAAAAAAGTCTTTACCTCTTGTAATTCCTTTAAAATGGCGAGGAAGGTAACGCATTTATTGAAAATGAAAGAGAAATTCAGAGAACGAGAATTATGCTTTGTTTCGGTTGAGATTCTGTTACCACAAGCAAGAAAGTCGGCTCATGCAATACGTCATTATTACGACATCAGTTAGGTCAGGTGGATAAATATTTAGATGTTGGTACTACTGCATCTACCAGCGTACTCGGGCATATAAGAATTTACCTTCTTCGCTATATAAAAATGAAAGATCAGATTAATCTTTACTCCTCCCTTACTGAATGAAAAAAAATATTATTATTCTTCTTATACGACATATTGAAATGTAAATTTTGTTCTGATTTTGTGACAAGTAATGCGTGTCTTATGAATCTGACATTTTGTTTGATTATTTTTGATTTTGACACAAACACTATCAGCGCAAGACGTTATCTGTGATTTCTGAAGACGTGAGGGCAACAATATTTGAAGACACGTACATAACTATACTGTATTTAAACATAGTCACGTATCTGCTCTCAACATCTGGCGTTGCGTTTCAGTTGGCTTCAGACTGCTCTATTAAATAACATACAGACGAGCATTGGTGTAATATTGGGAGATAGACATTTCAGTTTTAAAAAAAATCAGCAGCCCACAGAGTCACACAGAGTGCTTTGAGGTGAAATTTCAGGTTAGTACAACAGTAAAAAAAATATAAATATCTTCAGGGATGCTGAGCCTTGTAGTCCGGAAGAAATTGACCAACGCCCAGATGATGGCGCAGTAAAGGCGTCTGAAACGTCGGTTAATATCTACCGGAGTACACAGCGCAACACCCCCAAGTGATCTGACTTCGAAACAACTTCTTCCTTCTTAATTTCAGTCATTCTTCGGACGGTCCTACAACAATCTCAACTCCATCTCGGAGTGCAAGAACAACGGCGAATGTGTCATCAACAAGAAGAATCGGACGTCGTGCAAGGCGTGTCGGCTGAAGAAGTGTTTGCTTGCTGGAATGTCCAAGAGTGGTTCCCGGTACGGACGGCGTTCCAACTGGTTCAAGATACACTGCCTTCTTCAGGAACAGCAACAAGCAGCGTCACAGCACTACAGGCAACAGAGGACCCCACCACCCGCTCTCAGCGTTCTAGGGCAACGGGCCCAGCATATGGACCCCCGTCTGCATCATCAGCTGGCCACAGCCATGTCGCAACATCAGGCCCTCCAAGTCCGCACCAAGGAAGACCTTCTAATGCTCGGTCTGGACGAGTACAAGAATTCAACGTCGCCTTCCATCAGCTCGCCGGAGTCGCACAATTCGGATACATCGGTGGAGGTGAGCGAAACGCGTCTTCTGGCTGGGGGAGGACTCTTCCTTAACAACAACAACAACACCAAGTGTCCCGCAGAGCAGCGGCCCGGTTCAAACACCAAGGACATGTTCGTGCCACTGCCGTTCGCGTTCCCCCACCCTGCGACGTTTTTCCCACCCTCTCAGCACAGCGCGTTTATGTTCCCTCACAGCAGCTTCCTGTACCACCAGCAGCCGCCCAAATCCCACCAGAGCGTGCTGAAAAACAACAACAACAACAACAACAACAAGAAGAACGGAGACGCTTACAGCAAGAGATTCTTCCTCGACGCCATCCTGCGATCCCAGCAATCGCCAAGCGGCGGCAGCACCAGCCGGGAGGACGAGGATGACGAAGATGACGACGACGAGGAGGAGACAACCGAAGCCGCAGCATCGCCCAAACATCAGCCCACCATGACACGCAGCACCAACAAGGGGACGATCCTTACAATGTCCAGAATATTGGCATCGCCTCACCACGAGGACCACGAACAGGAAAATCCTATGGACCTGTCAATGAAGGGTTGCCAACACGACTACAGGCTGTCGCCCTCGCCTGCGGGGTTAGTAGATGACGTCATGTCCGACCAGGAAGAGGAAGACGGCGGAGAACTCTCCGCTAAGGGCGACGGACAAGATGTGGAGTACGACAGTACGGATAGTGACCATAAGGAGCGCCACAGTCGAAATGTGGCGGCGCCAATGGATCTCACCACTCGAGCATGATGCTAGGGCCGGCTTTACCGTTTAATTCGTTCAATGTTGCTGCATAAAATTTAAGAAA